AAATAAGTAAATAAAATATTTAAAAAAAAAAACACACTGTTCCTTTCTTTCTTTAAAATAGACTTATAAAAGGAATTTACTCTGTAAGCGAGAATTCTCTTCTTCGCTTTTATTGTGACTGCTTCTCCTTGAACTCAAATTTGAAAACTTCCTAGTACCTGAAAATATAGAACAGTCTAATGTTCATATCTAGGAAAGCTGGACTTAAAAAAACATTTGTTTTGAATCTGTCACCCCCGTTCGGCAGCCAACATGCTATCATTACTAGAAATGGAAGAAGCAAAGATCAAACCATTAAAATGATAAGTGACCAAAATCACCATTCTCTACTACTTAAATATAAAAATAAAATAAAAAAGAATGAGATTCAGTGTTATAAATACTTCAGTTGGAAAGAATTAATTTTATTGATGTTAACATCTCTCAAAGTATCATCCCAGGTTCTGAACAACATGCATTTCCAAATGTGAGCTGAAATATCAGATAACAGTGAATTCTCTATTTAATCTATCACTAGCTTGGTTAAACCAAGTCCTCCTCCCCTGCTTCTGCAGACAGATTACTAGGACCTATCCATAAGGAACATCCTCTTAGACAAGTGCCTGAGTGTTTTAAAAGGCATACCAAAGTTGAAAGGGGCCAGGACTGGCTGGTTTTGCTTACTAATACATTCCTATCAGTAAGACAGGATCCAACACACAGCAGAAACTCAGAGACATGAATATGTAACTTTTCTTCTTTCTTTATTTATTTATTTGACAGACTGAGATCACAAGTAGGCAGAGAGGCAGGCAGAGAGAGAGAGAAAAAGGAAGAAGCAGGCTCCCGTCTGAGCAGAGAGCCAGACGCGGGGCTCCATCCCAGGACCCTGAGATCATGATCTGAGCTGAAGGCAGAGGTTTAACCCACTGAGCCACCCAGGTGCTCCGGAAAGAAGCAGTGTCTTAACTTTAGTTAGCGTTCAAGTCCCTCAATTAACTAATCTAGCTCAGCTAATAGTTAAAATATAAATACTGAAAATTCTTCCAGGCAGTCATGAAAACTTTATATTAAGGTATATACTGACTTGATACATACCTGATTTTACAAATAACCACATTCACAGTATGTACAGGTACATTATACTTGCCTCACAAGCCTAAGATGCCACATTTTATTTATATAAAAATTAGAGATTTACTTAAACTTTCTCATCCTGAAGCATTTGATACTGGCTGCTTCTGTGAAGCATAGTAAAAACAGTTAATGTTTATAAAGTGCTTACTTGTGCCCAGTAGAATATTAATAACCGTATTACTCATGAACTAGATTTCTTTTTAAAGTCAGGTTTATTGAGATACTGTTTATGTACAGTACAGTTTGCCCTAGTCAGATGTATAGTTCTGTGATTTTTGAGAACATATGTAGGTCATAGAACCAGTACCACAATCACTATTCAGAATGCTTCCATCACCCCAAACAGGTTCCTTGTTCCCCTTTGTAGACCGTCCCCTCCCCTCATTCCTAACCCCTGGCAACCACTGATCAGAATTCTACCCTTTTTGTTTTGCCTTTTCCAGAATGTCACATAAGTAGAAGCATATAGTACATATTTTGAGTCCGGCTTATTTCAGCTCCCTAATGCTTTTAGATCCATCCATGTGGTAGCTGTATTTCAGAAGTTCATACCTTTGTATGGATATACCACAGGGTGTTTAACCATTCTCCAGTTGGTGGACATTTGGGTTTCCAGTATTTGGTGATTCTGAGTAAAACTGAAACTGCTAAATATTTAAGTAGGATTTTTTTTTATAGACATGTATTTTCATTTCTCTTGGGCATATATCAAGGATTGAGACTGCTGGATCATCTAATATGTATATGTTTATCCTTGTAAGAAACCGCTAAACTGTTTTTCAAATACGCTGTCCCATTTTGCATTCTCACCAACGCTGTATGAGACTTAACAGTTGCTCTATATACTCCCTACCATTTGGTATTGTCTGTTTTTTTTTTTTTTTAAGTTTTTCTACTGGTATTGTGACTTTTAATTTGGATCTGTCTGTTGAGTAACGATGTTGAGATTTTGTCTGTGTTTATCTGCTATCTGTATCTCTTTTTTGGTGAAGTATCTATTCAGATCATTTGACTGGCTTGCTTATTTATTTATTTATGGGTTTTATTCATTTATTTAACAGAGAGAGATATCACAAGGAGGCAGTGAGGCAGGCGGGGTGGGGTGGAGCAGGCTCCCTGCTGAGCAGAGAGCCCGTGGGACTCGATCCCAGGACCCTGAAACCATGACCTGAGCAGAAGGCGGTGGCTTAACCCACTGAGCCACCCAGTGCCCCTGTTTGACTGTTTTAAAAACTAGTTTGTATTCTTATGTTTGAGTTAGGAAAGTTCTTTATTAACCATAGTAGTACATGCACTGGTTTTAATGCTCATAGTACTCCTCTGAGGTGGGTACTATTAGCCTAAATCACAGATAAAAAAAAGTTAGGCCACAGGATTGTTAAAGATAGCCCAGGAACACGCAGCTTATAGGTATCAGAGCTGGGATTCACACCCAAGCAGATTGATTATAGAACTCGGGCTGAGCTGGTTGCCAGTTTTGTTTGTTTGTTTTGGGGGTTTTTTTGGTGGAGATTGATTTCTTGGGGCTGTAACTATAACTAGGATTCAATTTCTATAGGTGGTTAAAGCACTGCTTATAGGGACACCCCTGAGCAAGGGGGCAGTATATTGTAGTAGTAGCTCTGGAATCATCTCCCTAGGAACAATTAAGATATTTGTTGCTGTTGAAGAACGGTAATTATTTTCACTTTATGTCTCTTACTTCACTTCTACACACTAGTGGTCGAAGTACTTCTTTTAAATTACCTTCCAAATATCTGCCATTATTGAATAATGAGTTACTTTATATAAATGGATTTTCTCATTAGCAGAAGCTCCTCCTTTTGTGCATCCATACTTCATAAAAGATTTCCCACACTTGTTATTCCCTTTGTCTTTTACAGACCTTTGTCATAATAATGCTGACTTCGAGGCTCTTACTGTTTGGTGATGTACTTAGGAAGCACGTAGCACTTATTGACCATATAGGATGGCTTCAGGTTCTAGGACTTTTAAAGTTATATTTATTTGTAGTTTCATAGGTTTTTATTTTAGGCTTCTCTCATTATCCACTCATTTGTTTTTTCTGATATCATCCTTTCCCTAGTCCCTCTTTCACCCTTGTAACTTCTGATTATGTAAAAGATAATCAAATTATTGGGCTTACATGGATATGGTCTAAAATAAATTTCAGCTCTGGGAAACGACTTCGGAGTTTTCCAGTGAACATCTCTTATGACTGCTCAAAGGACACTTTTTTCTTGTTTGGGATCCAAATAGTCATTCTAAATAAATGAGCTCTAGGGGCGCCTGGGTGGCTCAGTGGGTTGAGCCGCTGCCTTCGGCTCAGGTCGTGATCCCAGGGTCCTGGGATCGAGTCCTGCATCGGGCTCTCTGCTCTGCAGGGAGCCTGCTTCCCCCTCTCTCTCTCTCTCTCTGCCTTCCTGCCTCTCTGTCTACTTGTGATCTCTCTGTCAAATAAATGGATAAAATCTTTAAAAATAAATAAATAAATGAGCTCTAAAGTAAGCTAAACATGACGTTTGACAGAGAAAAAGTGACGTGTTTTTCTTTTTAGCATAATTTTTTATTAGTAATTTGAAAAACCGTGGGGATTATCTTAGTAAAAAGGTAAATCAGACCGTGTTCAGCAGAATGGAATAAATAGGCACTTAATGGGCAGAAAGTCAGTTCACTATCATTATGTCTTGTAGCAGTTTATAAAGTTCCTGTCTGAGTCTGTGACAGCTTGTCCTCTCAACTGTGCCTCTAGGAGGGAAGAATAATCACTTCCAAGTAATTAACTAACAGGAGAAAACCTTGCCAAATCCTATTTACTTTTTGTAAAATATTAAGATGAAGGCTGGCTAGGGAGTAGCACTTCATCATGTAAAGCACTTTTGGAAGTGCTTAATGCTTTTAAGCCATTTTGACCAATTTAAGCTCTTACTTAGAATAAATTGATAAATATTCACCCAGGGGACTGGCTAAGTAGTTGTACTAACACTGCTGCTGCTTGGGCTCCTTGTCTGATGTCTGAGGACTGGGAGAGTAAAACTCCACTGTCCCTATCTTTCTTTGGCAGTCTTAGGATCACCATGTATGGTGCAGCAGGGTGCCTGGCACGCGGTAGGCTTTTATTTGTGGAAAATTTTGTTTCCCACAAAAGTAAAAAAAAACTGTGGCGATTGCTTAGAAGTAGTAGAATCATGAACCGGGATTGCATTGGTGATTTGTTTAAAATAAGAGTTTTATCAAGGTTGCAGTTCCACTTAAAGTCATTTTGCTGTATTATATTTTAGTTCCTTACTAACCCTGGAATTATTTTAAATTTTGTAAATCGGATTAATTCATACTTGCTTTTCCACTGAACTTTGAATTAGGAAATTAGAAAGTAGATTTTATGTTTAGTGAAGTTGTGAATTGCATCTGATGCTGTAGGTTGCTAGCTTTCCAGATGACATAGCAATATACCTCTTTCTTGTAAGGGTTAATGAGTAGCCTGGTTAGACTCACCGGCCCATTGTTATATTAAAAGCCAGAAAATTTGCTCTCTCCCTTCCATTCCTTCCCACGTTGTTTTTCTTTTCAGAGTTTTACTTACTTGATATATTAAGATAATTTTTAAAAGTTGAGATTTTTATTTTTTAAAACAACATACAGTTTTAATTTTGTTTCCTTGTAGATGATTCCTATTTTGTTGTTGTTTAATTTTAAATTATGGTAATTAACATGAGCTGAATAATGGTTTAATCAAGGTAGATCTTGCTCCTTGGCTCCACGTCCCTCCTTTTTCTATACCTCCCCTCTGTTTTTACCTGTAGATTTGCATGTTTGACCTGGCAGAATAATTGGGTCCACAGCAACATGGGCGTGCCTCCCTTAGAAACACTTAGTTTCATGTATGACTCATAGGCTGAAGCACAGACACCACTTCCCCAATCTACAGGAGCCATTTTAACAGCATAAAACTTGCCGGATTGCTTTTTATTTTCAAGCCCAAAGACAAAAAGAGAACGGGAATATTTGAAGGTAACTTATTATGGTTTCGTGTGTTTGCTTCTGGCTGTTTCCTGAGCTGGTAAACGGAGGGTGGCTCTTACCTGTCGAAGAACATGGCTGAATGTATTCTTTAACTCTCTGAAAAAATGTGTGTAGTCAGTCACATGCCTGATTGCACTTAACTGTGAGGGGGAAACAAAGCATTCAAAATCTGGAAAGTTTTAGATCTTCCTGGAAAAGCATTTTTTTATGTGTTATATGATTTTTTTTTCTTTCTTTCCCAGTGTGACTTGAGAATAAAGGAGACTTTTCTTTCTTTCTCTTTCATACCACAAAACAAACTTCGGTCAAATTTTCATTTTAAAAAATCTAATTGTATTTGTGGGGATAGAAAGTTAGAGTTAAGTAAGCTGTACAATTCATGTGTGATAAGGGTGTTAAAAAAATTCAGAGACACTGGTTTTATTTTGGCATTTTGGTTAAAGGGGAGTCTGGGGACAACTCAGCCATAGGTGTTGCTCATTGATTGTTGTGTCCTTTTCTTAAGTTAATGAAACTACACTAAACCTTACTTTTTCAAAACTAAGTAGAAGTGTAAGGAAAATGAATAGTCATTTAAATAATAAGTAAAAGTGGTTATTAAATAAAGAGGGAGAAAAATAGGACAGTTCATTTACTGTTAGAAAAAAAGTAGTAAAGTTTTATAATTCACACTGGAAACAACAAGCACGGATGCATGATGAGCTTCTGAGGAAACATGTAGCATTTCAATTTGTGTATAAAGAAAAAGTAAGAAAGAGTACTGGCCTGCCTTCTATATTGCTGTTCTTAAAATTTGTTTCTTTTGAAGAAAAAAAGTAATACCTTTTGTGTGAAAGAAAAGATTGCTCAGTCTTTTTCTGGAGTATTTATCATCATTGAAATTATGAAGTTTTCTGGCTAGCTTATATTCTGGTGTGCCTTGAAGTTCTAGGTCCTCTGAGAAGCTGAGTGCAATAGTATTTTACTTATGAAAGCTATTTATGAAATTAAAATTTGAATGAAAGTAAAATTTGAATGTTCAGTGATTGTGAGTAACATTTTTGAAAACCAAAAGTCATATTATTGACTATAACAATATTTAGCTAGTTCTTTGGAAATCTGCTGTTCTTAACTTTCTAAGTGCTTGAAGACCTATGAGATAAAAGGGAGGGTATAAAGGCAGTTACTTATTCTCTTGGAAAGGATCATTCTATTAACAGATCTGAATTTTGTGTTTTTGCAGGAAAGGCATAGCAGACATTTTACCAGTTCAGCTCTGACCATTGGCTATCATCTTTGTTTGCATCTTGCAGGTTTAATAAACCTCTGAGTAAGTAGAGGCTGTATTTACTTCTACTCTGGTCTGTGTGAAAAATCTAATGACACCTTTTAGCCTTTTTTTTTTTCCTTTAAGTTTTTTAAAAGCCAGTGAAAAAGGAAAATAAGTGGTGAAAAGCCATAAGAGGAAAATCTAGCCACACACAAGTAACTACGTAAATTAAGATTTTATTTAGAGAGAAGTAAGAGAATTTAGTTTCTTAAAATTAAGGGACTGTTATAATTTAAATAAAATTGGTCATATGTTTCAGTCTCTTACCCATGTGACAAAGACTGAAGTGGGACTTCAAGGATATGGGAAAGGGAAAAAACAAAAAAAGGAAAAACAAAACAAAACAAAAAAACCAAAAAAAGCATGGAAGCAAGGGAAGGCCAGAACGAGTTACTTAGTAGTCTTCGTCCCATTCTTTTCCTTTCATAAGGTTGAATATAAGTTTAGATTGAGTCATCAGAATTAAACTTAGAATTACCTATTCAGAGAACCGGAGCACTGAAAAAGACTGAAGGTCTCCCAGCGGCCTCACTTTCATAGATGAAGATATAGTGGCTGGAGGGGTCTTGTGACTTGCTCAAGGTCGTGCAGCACTTAGCGGCGGGGCTCCCCTCCTGGAGCTGCTCATGCTAGCCCACACTAACAAGTGATGCTTTGTTTGAAACTGGCTCTATTTCCTTAAGAATAAATAAAACCTTAATTAAGTTGCTTGGTGATAATTTTGGTAGTGAGATGCAACCAAATGATTCTGAAAATGTGTTCAAACAAGTTTCCTTTTTCGTCAGAGAGAAGATGATGCATTTGTTTAATTTCTACCACAGCTTGTTTTCATTACTAGAACTTTTTCATAGTTGAAGCATTGTTTATGACATTGCTTGTTTAAAATGGGCCTAGGGGAGATGGAAATATAAGGAGTTGGGAATTTACTTTGAACTTCTAGATACAAAGACAGGTTTATTTTCTGTCTTAGTTCTATCTCCTGTTCTTTTAGGAAGGCAAATACTATTTTAATATGATGTCTTATTCTGTTAAAGTCTGTGTGTGTGTGTGTGTGTGTGTGTATGTAAAACTTTGCATATGAGTTTACAAAATCTAGATGTCTCGAAATTCTGACATTATACTCATTTTGAATTGAAACTTTCCAGAATTAGTAATCTCATTCCATTTTTTGGTCATATCTTCTCCTTCTTTGAGAGTGTACTGTATATACTAGGCACTTTTTAAAAATCTTCTGGTCATATAATATCTTTGTTAATGTTTTGATGTGTTTTATTGGGGCGGTTGAAATTTACTTTAGATCTTCTTTGTTTAAGTCTGAAATTTGTTTTTTTTTTTTTTTAAAGATTTTATTTATTTATTCGACAGAGATCACAAGCAGGCAGAGAGGCAGGCAGAGAGAGAGAGGAGGAAGCAGGCTCCCTGCCGAGCAGAGATCCCGATGCTGGGCTCGATCCCAGGACCCTGAGATCACAACCTGAGCCGAAGGCAGAGGCTTTAACCCACTGAGCCACCCAGGCACCCCTGAAATTTGTTTTTTTTTTAAATCACTCTGCATGTAACTATTGAATCTCCCGAGTCCCCTAAACCAATTCATTATCAGAGCCTCCACAATGTGGTTGTCATTGTCCTAAAGAACAGACAGCACAGCAGCGGCTAGAAAACAGGGCTCTCTCCTCACAAACTTAGATTTTTTTTTTTTTAAGATTTTATTTTTTATGTATTTATTAGAGAGGGAGAGAGAGAGAGAGCAAGAGAGCCCAAGCAGGGCCAGGGGCAGATGGAGAAGCAAACTCCCCACTAAGTGGTGAGCCAGACATTCGACTTAATCCTAGGACATTGGAATCATGACCTGAGCCAAAAATAGACACTTAACCACTAAGCTGCTGAGCCACCCAGGTGCCCCACAAATTTAGATTCTTACTGGGAAAACAGGGTGTGATAGCAGCGGGTTAACTAAGAATGGAACTGAATCACTGAGAAGTTTCATTCGGTTCAGACTATTTGCCTAGAGGTGAAACATGACTGAAACTTACAATAGGACAGAGTATGGAGCTTTAGGAATTATTAGTATTGAAAAGTGAATAGCATTTGCCTACGTTAAGAAGAATGTCTTCACCAAAAAGAATAAGTATGTAAGCTCTTTGAGGTCAGAGAGGTTTCATTTTATTTTTCTGTCTTTTTGGAACTTTGACAGAAGTAGCAAGCACATACGAATACAGTTATGATTTGCTGACCCTCTACTACTCGGTTGGGCAGATTCTGCTAAAATTAGGGGTGGCTAACCTTTAAAAGGCATGTGGCCCTCAGCTTCATCTGCCTGATGTCTGCACATCATAACCATTCAAAGAAAAAACGGAACACCTACCTGGTAGTAAATGTTTTAAAGCAGTAATCCTCAACCTTTGGTGTAACAGCGGATCACCTGGTTCCAGCCCCAAGATTCTGATTCATTAGGCCTAGGGTTTGGCTTGTCAGTCAGCATTTTTAATAATTACCCTAGATAATTGTGGTGCAAGTGCTTGTATAGACCATACTTTCAGAAAAAGAGTACACGTTTAGGAGGAGCAATCACTTACTTTGCGGTTTAATATTTCAATTTTTAAGCAACAGGGATGTTTTGAAGCCTGCAGCCTCTGGTAAGTCAAGAAAGTGACTGGAGTAGTTTATTATCAATATTAGAACTTACTAAAACTCCTTCTCTACCCTAGTTATTCCTTTCTTTATTTATCTGCCTCTCTAATTCTGCTTTTCTTCCTCTCACTCCCAAACCCACCACTGTATTGACCACAGTAAATAATTAAGCTACTTATTTTTTTTTCCAAATGTAATTAGCCTATTCTTTATCTCAGTGAACCGTGGCTCTCCCAGTGTTAGTTTTTTTAGTACCATCTGGTATTTCTCTTCATTCCCTTATCCTTGGGTTTTTAGACAAAACATTCCTTTCCTGATTTAAGGTAGGATTTATAGCCTTTGAAAATCCTTTTCTCCTGGGAAATACACTATTATTATTTGTAGTTGTTTGAGGCTGGGGAAAAGGTTGTTTGTTTTGTTTCATTTTTAAATACATGTTATGCTTGGATTTGATTTCTGAGGCTTCTTTGGACATTTAACTCCATCACTGATAGCATATTTGTAGGTTTTACCTTATATTACATCCCATCTAATGGGACATAGGTGTTCTCACAGACTCTTATAGAGAAGGGAAGAACAGTCCATCAGTTGAATGGTCTGAAAATAATTATTGTTTCCATTGTTTCCATGCTTCATATGGATGGTAGAAATTGAATTAGTAATAGCATTGAGTCAGCTGAAGTGATAAGGGCAATTTTGACTGTTGGAGCAATCTCTTTCTCCCATTACTGTGAAAATCTACTGAAGAGAAAGTTTTTTTGTGTCACCTCTATCTTTGTGTCTTGTCAGATGGTCGGTGTATACTAGAGTAAAAGTTGCTCTTGATCTGTACTACAAGTTGAGGCGTTTCACCCTTTATGAAAAAAAATAACTTGGGTGCTATTTGCCTTGTTAGCAGAGAGGAAGAAATTAGGCACTTGAGCTTCGGTTGATTTCTGTGCAAAAGCATTTTTATTTCTTCTCTACCAGTTGTAAATATCTGATTTCTGTGCAAAAGCATTTTTATTTCTTCTCTACCAGTTGTAAATATCTGAATCAGGAAAACTCTTCCTAAACTTCTCTTCTCTCACCCCTGTAGGAATTCAGAACTTTCCCTTTATCTGCCCTTTAATTGCTGAGTAGTAGGTGTCCGCTCTTTTTTGTCTCTGTACTTTACAGCCTGAATTAATTGCTACCGTAAAAAAAAAAAAAAAAAGCAATATGAATGCCTTCTAGAGTTTGTTTGAAGACTGATTTAAGAATTTTTATATTAAAAAGTTAATTAAGTGATATATGCACATGATGTTTAAAATCTGTAATGAAAAGCAGCCTCCCTCCTTTTCCCTTTACCTGCTGCCCAGAGGCAGCTGCTACTTTGAAAAGTTTTTGGGTTTGTTTTTTTTTTTTAATTTGTTTTCTTGGCTCTATCCTTGTCTAATTTTCTCCCCCATATAATAGAAGTTCTTCAAGGTAGCAGGAACTAGTATGACTTTACAAGATAAAAAGTCATGTAAAGTTCATTGTCTGTGTGATGGATGCCCAGTCACATAGTGGGCATTGTGTTTGTGCAAAGTTGTATGGTATAAAAAAAAGAATCAAGGAAAATTTGTTATTTTTTGTGTTTTAGGAAACAGTCCTATGAACAATGAAACTAAAACTATAAATATGAGGTGTTGAATTAGTAACTGTTTATGTGCATCTTTTTTTTTTTAATATCAAAATACTAAATGGAAGCTTAGTATTGTAATGGGGCAGTTCATTCTCTTTTTTGTTTTAAAACTGAATTATAGGGGCGCCTGGGTGACTCAGCGGGTTGGTTAAGCCTCTGCCTTCAGCTCAGGTCATGATCCTGGGGTCCTGGGATCGAGCCCGGCATTGGGCTTCCAAATCTTTAAAAAAAAAACCAAAACTGAATTGTACATGTAGGAGAATATATAAAGCATATGCAGTTTGAATATAATTACAAAGTGTTTGCCTATTACACAACAACCGAGGTTAAGAAGTGGGCTTATTGTGTTAGAAGTCCCCTGCTGCTGCCCCATGTTTGTGTCTTCTTAAAAATAATTACTATCTTGACTTTTGTGAACACCTTTTCATTAAATTTTTACCCCTTAGAACTTCATGTAAATGCAGTCACACCATATATATTCTGTAGTGCCTTGCTTCTTTCATTCAACTCTGTGAGATTTATCTTAGTTAATTTTAATTGCCATGTTGTAGTCCATTGTCTGTCTAGACCAGAATGTATTTACTTTCTCTTGTTGATGACATTAGATTATTTCCAGTTTGGGAACATTCTTGCACATGGTTCATGGAACATATGTGCCAGAGTTCTCTAAGGCAGTATCATCACATTGAGGTATGAGAGCTGTTTACAAAGAGTATAGAGA